GAGTCGACTCACCACTGAGTCATAGTTGACTCACCTGCCTAGTTGGAAGTTGACAAGGCATTGTAACCTTCAAAAATGGTTAAAGGTACTAAATTAACCGGTAAAACACAAGTTTGTACCCTTCAAATGCAAAAAAAAAATCACGAATGACCATTTAAACCAATATACTAAACATTGTTGGGTTATAGTGACAATAACCCAAAAAAATAAAAGGAAATAGAATAGAACAATTAATTCGTTGTGTAATCGAGTTAGTATGAAATGAAAAAAAAAACAAAAAAAGAAATATAATTAGAAACAAAAAAAAATGATATTTTCATATTCGTTTGAAAAAAAAAATGATAATTTTATAGTACTTTTTTTGGGATATCTCTAGAAAAGTCCCAATATTTTGGGCAAATTTTTAATAAAGTCCTAAATTTTATTTTTTGAATGAAAAAGTCCTGACTTTTTCACATTTTGAATAGAAAAGCCAAAAAACCGGCTAATTTATTCACTTTAGCCATTTTTGACCTGGTCATGAGACCAAATTATTAATTTTTCGAAAATAATGGGACTTTTTTGCAGATTTCGTCAAAAAATTTATATAATGTATAGACATATTTTTTACATATCTATATCTATTTTTACGTATTTGTGTACTTTTTTATGTTTTTATATGTATATATTTACGTATTTTTATGTATATTAAATGTATAAACGTATTTTTTTTACTTATTTATATGTATTTTTAACCATTTTACATATTTTTTATGCATTCTTATGTGTTATTTTTTATGTATTATGTATTTATATGTATTTTTATATTTTTTAAAGCTTTTTATATAGATGTTTATGTATTTTAAATGTATAAACGTATTTTTTACGTATTTATATCTATTTTTAAGTATTTTACATATTTTTTATGTATTATGTATTTATGTATTTTTTTAAGTGTTTTATATAGATGTTTTTGTATATTTATGTATTTTAAATGTATAGACGTATTGTTTTACGTATTTATATGTACTTTTTAAGTATTTTACATATTTTTTTGTGTGTTTTTATGTGTTTTTTTTATGTATTATATATTTATATATATTTTTGCGTATTTATGTGTTTTTTTAGTTTTCTTATATAGATGTTTATGTATTTTTATGCATATTAAATGTTTAATTGTATTATTTTTACGTAAAAAATATATAAACACGTAAAAATAATACAATTAAACATTTAATATACGTAAAAATACATAAACATCTATATAAGAAAACTAAAAAAAATACATAAATACACAAAAATACATATAAATACATAATACATAAAAAACACATAAAAACACACAAAAAGTATGTAAAATACTTAAAAAGTACATATAAATACGTAAAACAATACGTCTATACATTTAAAATACATAAATATACAAAAACATCTATATAAAACACTTAAAAAAATACATAAATACATAATACATAAAAAATATGTAAAATACTTAAAAATAGATATAAATACGTAAAAAATACGTTTATACATTTAAAATACATAAACATCTATATAAAAAGCTTTAAAAAATATAAAAATACATATAAATACATAATACATAAAAAATAACACATAAGAATGCATAAAAAATATGTAAAATGGTTAAAAATACATATAAATAAGTAAAAAAAATACGTTTATACATTTAATATACATAAAAATACGTAAATATATACATATAAAAACATAAAAAAGTACACAAATACGTAAAAATAGATATAGATATGTAAAAAATATGTCTATACATTATATAAATTTTTTGACGAAATCTGCAAAAAAGTCCCATTATTTTCGAAAAATTAATAATTTGGTCTCATGACCAGGTCAAAAATGGCTAAAGTGAATAAATTAGCCGGTTTTTTGGCTTTTCTATTCAAAATGTGAAAAAGTCAGGACTTTTTCATTCAAAAAATAAAATTTAGGACTTTATTAAAAATTTGCCCAAAATATTGGGACTTTTCTAGAGATATCCCAAAAAAAGTACTATAAAATTATCATTTTTTTTTTCAAACGAATATGAAAATATCATTTTTTTTTGTTTCTAATTATATTTCTTTTTTTGTTTTTTTTTTCATTTCATACTAACTCGATTACACAACGAATTAATTGTTCTATTCTATTTCCTTTTATTTTTTTGGGTTATTGTCACTATAACCCAACAATGTTTAGTATATTGGTTTAAATGGTCATTCGTGATTTTTTTTTTGCATTTGAAGGGTACAAACTTGTGTTTTACCGGTTAATTTAGTACCTTTAACCATTTTTGAAGGTTACAATGCCTTGTCAACTTCCAACTAGGCAGGTGAGTCAACTATGACTCAGTGGTGAGTCGACTCATCGTTGCCACGTAAGCCAAAACTTATTTGCCACGAAGATAGAACTAATCCATCAGTTTACATCGGAGCGCGAGGGCTTACAAACAGTAACAATGGAGCTTCTTATTCGTCTTTAACGCCATGTACTTCTCCTACGTTCTAATTCCAAAACCAGAATCCTTGAAAGTGTAGGTGAGATTTCCGATGTGGTGGTGGGTGTAAACAGAGAGAAGGGGGTGGCGGACAAGACAACGGTGGAGCCAACATCAGGGCCACCGCCCTCGATTTTGGCATTCATAGACTTTGTTCTGCTTCCCTTCAAGCATATTACTTGCATATTGATTAAGTAAAGGAAGTTTGTGTAATGCGATTGATGGTTGAAGAAATGCCACGGCTCGATCTTCGAGCTCGATATCACTATGGATTCGAACAGAATTCATCAATGATTCCCATATTTCAAATGTGGTTCAAAAGGAATGTTTTCGATGAACTCAAAAACTTCGTTTAGATGTTCAGATTTCCCTAAAACATCAATAACCCCTAAATAATGATCAATTTCTGGATCTAGATTGTAGTCGTTCTTCATTGATTTGAAGTGTTTGAAGCATTTTTGAATTGAATTAACACTGGCACATGCTGAAAAAAGTAATCGAAAAGTCTCCTTGTTTGGAGTTAACCCCAACTCTTTCATCTGGTTGTTTAACAACAACCTGCATCGGGTTCCCCGTTATCTGTGTAGCCCTTTATCATTGAATGCCATAAGCTTAATTCGTCTCGTTCACGCATTCCGTCGAACACCATGTGTGCATCCCTCATGCTGTTGCATTTTATGTATAGTACTATCAATTTAGAGTTCAAATTCACAAAACCGTAGTAGGAAGATCGAATAAGAAGCTACTGAACCTTCTTCCCCAGTTCAAGATCGTCACACGAATCCAAAACAAGCTCGAAAACATTGGATCCTGCGGGCACACCTTGAGACATTAACTCAATCGTTTCTTTAATTGACCTATTTTGCATAGCGCCATTAAATCCACATCCGGTGGCGGAGATGTGTTGGTGCGTTTTCGTGTTTTGGGAAGAGTTGGTGGTTTTGTGGATGTGTTGAGTCGGCGATTGGTGTTCGATTCTACCGGAGTCAACATCATGGCCACCGCCGGAGCCGAAGAAGATAGCGGTGGAGCCAGAGAAGACAGCATCGGAGCAGGTGAAGATGAAAGACGGTAAGGGATTTGATCGGATTCGGGTTCTATAGAAATCATTACATTAGGTGTTATACGTGGTAATTGAGTTGACATCTAAAACTGCTGATTAGGATGAGTATCACCGGGTGACCCCTTCAAAATTTCCAAAATAACCTTTTAAAACCTAAAAATACAAGTTCGTGCCCTTCAAATGCAAAAAATAGTCACGAGGGACCATTTAAACAAATATACTAAAGTTTCTTGGGCTATAAGGACAATAACTATATTACTGTCCTTATAGCCCAACAAACTTTAGACTTGAAAAGAGAACCATTTAAAAATTATAAATGTGCATTATATTTTAAGAAATGATTTGTGTACTTCAATTCTTTTATGGGTTATTTTCATAAAAGACCCTATATTTTGATTTTTTTTCTTTTTAGACCTAAAACTTTTTTCTTTT